TTTTTTTTTTTTTTAAAGCAAGAAACAATAAAAGAAAAAAAAAGAAAAAGAGTTAAAGTGTCAGATTAGGTAGGTAAATAAAAAAAATTAGAAGCAAATTAGCAAAAATATTTAAAAAATGCACTAAAAATATGCTATAAATTAGTTTATACTTTAAGCAGAAAATTTTTATTGTTTAGCTCAACAGCCACTTGAATAATAATTCTACTTATAGCCCCACACAAGCTTTTATCAGTTCAAGCTAAAAGTATTTTGACCTATCTAACTGATTAAATATACAACATTTTATGTTAAATAAAAAGTTCTGAGTAACTGTTCTAACTGTTTTTTTTTTTTTGCTAAAGCTTTTGAAGTTATGACGGTTTAGTACAACTATGCAATATGTGTGTAACTGAGTTTGAAGTGGATTAATTTGAATAAAACCAGCAAAAACTTTCCGATTTTAACACCTTATGTTGAATTTCTCGATTTTATGCAGCGCAAAAATAAGGAAAAAAAAAAGATAGACGGTATCAAAAAAAAATGTACGGTAAAAAAAGATCATTAACAAAAGTTTTTTTGGTTTTAAATTGTTTTTATCATAAATTCTACTGTATTGCAAAATATATTCTGAGACTCATTGTTCTTGTTTACAGATTTCCATAACAATCAAAGAACCAAATACAGACTGCCCTCATCCTCAGTGCACACAGTTACGTCGTAAGCGAAGACAAGTTGAAGCAAATACCATTGGAACTGTTGATGTGGTATCGCAAAACATCGAAACGTTGGATATCAATGTTATACCGAACAAAATAATAGATAACAGAACGGCTTCAAATCCGCAACAAGCTGAACAGCTCTGTGTTAACATCATTTGTGAGTTCTACTTTATTTATTTATTTTTTTCCAAATATTTATGGTCAATTGACGACCAGTTGACGGCAAGTCATATCATATTTGGTGGAAATTGCTGAATAGCATTCAATTGGAGCCAATAAAGTGTATATATTTCAGATGTTTTGGTTGCGACAATACCGTTGGTTACCTCAATGGTACTTATTATGGTGGTATTATTGATCAAATTTGGCAGTTTATCACTTCCATATAGGGGTAGTTTAGACTTTGCGAAAACTGTACGATAATTATCTGCCAAAAGATACAGTTGTGCTGCACTGTAATTTGTTTAGGCAAAAATTTTCTTCAACGATTTAAAATCAAGGATAAATTTAAAAAAAAAAAAAGGGAAAGGAAATGAACGATAGTTGAAAAAAACTGTAAAAAAAATTTGGAATATATAATAAATGAAAAAAATTAACAGTTAATTTATTACTTATCTTAATTTGTGTTATTTTAGCAATGAAATTTTCAACAATTACAATGCTGCAATTTTTTCATTGTTTTACTTGGATTCGATTAAATTTCAATTTGTTTTTTCTTTTTTTTTGTGCAAGATAGAATTTGCTAATCACTTGTTACACAACAGATCAGCTGAAGCAGTATAAAAATTTGCTTTGAACTAAGTGGTTTAATTGAGGAATGTTTTTTTTTTTCTTCTAACAAATAGTAACACCAAATTTTTGCTGCAACGAATATATTATCGTGCAAATTTATGGTACAAAAAGTTTGTAATACAAGTTCTAGAGTAGTTTTAATTTTGTTTATAAAAGTCATCTATAACTTATTACATAGGTGCCAATTGAGTATAATATAAGGTTTAAGAAAAAAAAGGTTT